GCTCTCGTGCACCAGCGCGGCCCAACGGAGCCGCGCTCCTGCCGCCGGCGTGAGGGGCGGAGCGGAACAGGGAAGAGGAGCTCCAGGTTGTGGCAGAGAGAGGGGTAGGCACGGTCCCAGGGACCCCCGAGCCGGAGCAACAAGCCCCCTCCACAGTCAGGCCTTCTGAGTTGGGGGACCCCCTTCTTCCAGCCGGAGCTGTGGGTTGTGGGTCCCCGCGAAGCCCGTGGAAATGGGGGAGGGTCCGCACAGGGCATTATTTGATAGGGTTTGAACTGCTATCTTGCTCCCAAATTATCTCCGTACAGCCTATCACAGTTGCACCTTAACGCTTCCAGACCTTTGGGTCTTAGAGGCGTTGAAGGTTCCCAGAGTCTCCTGGGAAGCTGCCGACACCCCTGGAGAGGGAACCCCCCTAAACTGTTAGAAGCACACGCCCGCCCGGGGATACATTGGCCGCCCGTGCGTGAAGCTGGGCCTGGAGCACAAGACCCAGGGTGAGTATGGGGAACAGCAGAGAAGGAGGCTGGGAGCGTGTTGGCATGAAGTGGGCACATCATTAAGATGTGTTAAAGAACATAGCATCACAGTCCAGGCTCACGCGCCGGGGCACTCCACAGAAGCCAGTGCAGGTCATTTGTTTCCCTGCAGGGAGATAGCTTTTGGCTTAGAGTCTGCCAAATGATCTGCTCTGACATCCGGAAAACTTTGACTACTACTTACTATCTCCCTGACCTTGCACTTGCTCTCTGAATCTGTTTCCCTATCTGTAAAGTAAAGAGATGAGGCCCTACTTCACAGGTGTTGGGAAATGGTGAAAATAATCTCTGTTAGAGAGTACCAGATACTGGACCCTACGTAGGGGTGAGACTGATGAAATTTAAATCTGGAAAAAAAATAATCATGCCAGGTTGCGAGCTGTCTTTTTTTCCAGGGTGAGAAGGGCTGTTCTTTTCCTCTGAGGTGAGGTACATCCTGCTTTCTTAGTGTTAAAAATTCCTTTTTTAAAGAAATGATGATGATGGTTAGTGGAAGGTTTTTTTCCCCAATGTTCTTATTTGGCAAGAAAGGGAATGTTATTTCCTTCCCAAATTAAAAAGAATTATGTGAAGTCCCCCACAGTTTGGGGACTACAGATCCATGTAAAGTCATCTCACCTGAGACAGTATGCTCAATAAATTTGGTTTCCCCTTCCATTGGTTCCCCCTTTCATTGGTTCCTTTAAAGGCATCTAGGCTGTCTCCTGAGAACTTTAAGATCCTGGAACCATGAACTGAAAGGGGCTGTAGAGAGAGTCTCATTCTACACATTTTCCCACTTGACAGATGGAGAACAGAGGCCAAAGAAGGGGAATGACTTGTACTAAGGGGTGAGTCCTTCCTGCATATTCAACTGATCAACATGATCCATTCATTTTTTCAACTATGCAATAAATATGTGATAGACTCCTGCACTGCGCCAGCACCACACTGTGCCAGGCCCTGGAAGAAGGTGGTGGGTGAAACAGATGTGGTCCCTGTCCTCCTGGAGCTCACAGCTTCCTGGGGAGCTAGAAAGTGCTGAGAGGAGGGAGCCATGTGGTCATCCTCAAAGAGGACCTTAAAGTCTCTTTCTGTCGGTGGGCCTGATTTAGGTACTGTTCTGAACATAAGTTACTGGAGCCAGAAAGTCCATCTTTTCTCCTTATTCTGCCATGAATTATTACCTTTTTTTCTACCCTGCTGAGCCAAGCTATACCATCCAGGAAAAAAAAATCACAAAAGTCCACTTACTCCTCCCTCTCAAAGCAAGAACTGAGAGTTAAGATGGGACCCCAATTCCTTACTGGTTGCTCAATTCTAGCTCTGCAGCATAGAGAGCTGCCTGCCACCCACACCACTTCTGACATCAGTATTTTTTCTTTCAAAATAATCCTTTCCCCCTCACTCAGTCCCTGAGTTTGGTGAGACACCCTCCGCCACCACCATATTTCTCTCCAGAGAGGGGCAAATGGTCAGTCTCTGGGTAATGAGAATGCGCCATTGTTCTAGACACAATGACTGGCTCAGGAGTGGGCCCAGAAGCCCACCTGAATAGTTGAGAATGACATCTAGGGCATTCATTGCCATTTACCAGAAAGAGGTTTTTCTCCTTCTACTGAGTTTGTTGAGCTGGGGCTTCAGCTTCAACCTCAGGGGGCCCAAGCAGAAAGACTGTCTAAGAATAAGAGGACCACAGAGAGAAGCTAAGAAATGGAGAGAGACAGTTCTGATGACATGGTTTGAGCACCTGGATCCATCCATGCCTGAAGACTGATTCTGGAGTGTTCTGTTAGGTGAGCTAATGAATTCAGTTTTTGCTTAAACCAGTTTGAATTGGGTTTTTGTCATTTCCAATCAAAATAGTCCTAAATCATTTACCTACCTCTCCCCACAAAGAGAGCAGGGCTGGTGTACTGGATTGTTTATACTGTAGAAAAATGCCTGAAAAGATGAGCTTCTCCTGACATATTGGAACCAAAGGACCAGAATTTAAGGTACATCTCTGCCACTGATTAACTGTGTGAGCCACGATGATGGGACTGTTCCTCACAGCCATGTTTTCTTCATGTATAAAATAGAGAAAAACATACTTCCTTCCTACAGATGTTATGAGGATTAAGAGAGAGGATGCATAGAAAATCGCTTTGTAGACTGAAAATGGCTTTATAACTGTAAGTGATTGTCATTAAATTTTAATAAGTGGCTCGCCTAAGTAGTAGAAATAGCAGTGATACTGGAAAGGCTCTTGTGAGCTCTGAGTAGCTGAGACAGAACGTCTCCTCACTTTTAAAACTCACCTTGGAGCAGTTACAGAAATGAAGTTTGAGAACTCTCTGTGGGAAGAACAGAACAGAACAGCCGTGGGCTCAAGATGGGACTGTAGAGTGTAAGGCAAGGATGATGTTGCACTGAGCACCTGGATGAGAGAAGCCCCTAGGGCACTTCCAGCCAATATCCTAGCAAAGAAAGATTTGTAACTTGCCAGATACCCTTATGTCTAAAGTATGTGTACAGTTACACTGAATAGGTATTAAGTTCTTACAAGATTCCAGATCCCCTGATCTTTGCTTTACAAGTATTGTCTCATTTAATCTTCATGATAACCCTGAGAGGTAGTGTTTTGGGCTGAACTGTATCCATCCCCTTGCCCCCAAATTCATATGTTCAGGTTCAAACTTCAGTACCTCAGAATGTGACTATTTGGAGAGAGGGCCTTTAAAGAGGTATTTAAGGTAAAATGAGATCAGATAAGTGAGCTGTAATCCAGTATCACCACTGTCCTTATAAAAGGAGATGAGGACAGAGACAAGATGATGACCATGGGGGAATAGCAAGAAAGCAGCCACCTACAAGCCAAGGAACATGCACCTCGCAAGAAACCAAACTTGCTAACACGTTGATCTTGGACTTCCAGCCCCCAGAATTGTGAGAAAATAAATTTCTGTTGCTTAAGCCACCCAGATTGTGGTATTTTATAACGGCAGCCCTAGCAAACTAGTACAGATGGGTGCTATTGTCCAGATGAGGACAATGACATGTGCCCATTTTACAGATGAGGTCACAGAAGTTAAATGACTTCCCCAAAGTCTCACATCTAGCAAGTGGAAAAGCTGGAATTTATCCCCAGGTAGCCTGCTTCAGAGCCCATATTCTTAATTACCATACCCTGTGAATCATTATATAGAGTGTTTTCAATTCTTCTGGTTACCCTGGTTTCTTGTTTGTTTCCAAAGCGTTTGATTATGAGCACATGCACTGGCATCAAGACCATCTGGGTTCAAGGCTCAGTTCTTCATTCCTTGGATCATAAACTGTAAAGATGCTAGCTTTAGGTTGTAGATGGTCATGCTCACCACTCCATGGCAAGCCCAAGAGAATAAGACCAACATGTCCTCAGAGAGATGGAGAGGTTCTTAATGCTTTTGAGAACCTAAGGCAAAAGTTACACCTACATGTCTTTCCATGGTTTTCTTAAATCCCTGTCTTTTTTTTTAATCCCTGTCTTTTATTCACGATGGTTTGAATTAGTTTTCTGTCTCATGTACTTGAAAGAGTCCTAACAAAGGCCGTATCTTTCTCTTTGTTCTCTCAAACTCACACATTAAATCTTGCTCCTTGACTTAAGAATCAAGTCATTCATTCCTTCAACCATTCAGCTAATATATATCAGTGGCTCTTCTATTTGACAGGCCCCGTGCTAGACATAAGGGACACAAAGATGAGGAAGACCCAGTCCCTGCCCTGGAGGAACTCACTGTCTAGGAGAGGAACAAGGAAACAGATGGAGTAGAATTAGAGTGACAGAGGTTCACCCAGAGATTTTCAGAAGCATGTGAAGGGCTTCACTGGGGCTGTGATATTGAATGAGTCACCTGAACTTTTGGAATCTCAGTTGTCTCATCTGTAAAGAGACCATCATAAAAAAAATTCCTTTACGGATGATTAAGTAATGTGCTTTATACTTTAAGCAAACTAAAAATGTGAAGAATTGTTCATACAATAACAAGATGCTCATTTAGCTGTACTGTGCCTCCCCTGGTATCTCTTTTATTTGAGACCCTTGGGTTGCAAATGACAGAGACTCAATAAAAACTGACCTAAACAGAAATAGGTTCCAGCAGGATCCAGCCACTCGTGTGATAGGTTTGGGAGTCGGTAGCTCCCCACGGACTCTGCTTTTCCCTCCATGGTTGGCTCCATGCCCAGGCAGCATCTTCCCAAACCACGCGAGATAGGTTTGCTAGCTTTGTGGTCAGAGAATGTAGTCTGTGTGATACTCATATTTTGGGATTTATGGAATATTTCTTTGAGGCCTAGCACGTGATTCATTCTCATAAATGTTCCCTATGTGCTTTCAAAGAATATGCTTACCTTGTTAATGGAAGGATATTCTTTCTATGTTTATTAGCTCAAGCCTGTTCATTGCATTGTTCACATTTTGTAGATCATTGCTCTTTTTGTTCCCCCTGCTTGACCCATCCATTTCTGAGAAAAGTGTGTTAAAATCTCCCACTACGATTGAAGGGACATGAGAGAACTTTATGGAATGATGCTAACATTCTACATCTTGCCTGGAGTTTAGGTTACACAGGTGTATGCATTTGTCAAAACTCAGCAAATATACACTTAAGATTTGCACATTTCATTATATGTAAAATTCATTTCAGAGAATAAATGCAATCAGATTTTCAACTTTAATGAAGTCTTTAAGGGAAATGGAATTGATTCTGCAATTTACTTTGAAATGCATACAAAATAAGATGGCTTAATAAATGGATAGAAAGATGGAGAGATTGATAGATACATGAAAAAGTAAATACAGGGTAAAAGTGTTACTGGTAGGGTTAGGCAGTAAGTATTTGGGTGTGCACTGTAAAGTTCTTTTCGTTTGTGGTACATTTGAAGTTCTTCATTAAATATTGTTGGAGGAGGTGGACTCTCCCATTATGATTGCTGATTTGCCAGTTTCTCCTTGTCAGTTTGTTGATTTTTTGCTACATAAGAGACTAATACTAGATGCATACTAGCATTCTTTTGACTAGTATTTCCCTGGTGTATACTCTTTCACCGTTAGTCTTTCTGTGTCATTATGTTTTTGGAATATCTTTTGTAAAAATCAAAAAGCCTCATAAAAGAAACCCAAGATGAAAGTCTCTGTCTTGTAATAGGTAAACATTAGTCTGTTTACATTTATTGTGATTATTGATCAATTTGGACTTATTTATACCAACTAACTTGTGTTTGCCTTTTACTCTACTTTTTCTTATGCATCTTTTGCCCCCTTTCCAGCCTTCTATTTTAATGATTTGGTTTCTTTATCCTTGGTTTTGCTTCTGCTGGTTTTGGAGACCTGTAGTTCATACCTCGTGAGGCATTTCCCACTTAACATTTCCCAGGAGAATTCTCTTGGATTTCAATACCAGAACTTCACACAAATTACCTATCTCTCACTGCAACATCTTCTGGCCAATATTTATATGAGAAAAATTTATATTTATGTTCCTAAAACTCAGCAGAATGTTCTAAACAAAACTCAGTGCAGGAAATATCTTAAGATTAAGATACCAACTGCTATAGGTAGGATGTCAGAATCAAGTCTTCTTTGTAAATTGTGCCTCCGTGTCAACAAAAGGGGTGTGTACCTCAGATGCTACTGGTGCTAAGAGAGGGATCACCGTTCATGCTAATGCGTACAAAGCTGTTGTTTGCCAAAGCAGTATCATTTGCTTGGTGGTTAGGAAGCATGGGTTTTGGTTTTGTTTTCTGTGTGTGTTAAAATATACATAGCAAAACTTACCCTTTTAACCATTTTTAAGTGTACACTCAGTGGCATCAAGTATAATCACAG